ATTATTAAATTAATTAAGAAATAAATTCTTGTCATTCTACAGGGCATTTTCTCTTTGTTAACACTTGCAATACTCTTTCCATTATTGTCGTTTTCACTTATATTGTGCATACATATATTTGACGCTTCGATTAATAAATCAAATATAAAGAAGGGCAGCAATAAACGTAATGCACTTTTATGAGAGCTTCCGTGAGAGAGAATTTTTGGCATGCATTTTGCTATAGTTACCTGTGTGTGTGAGTTGTGTGTGCATGGGAGTGACAAGTTTGTGGATTACTAGCTCAATTTCGTGAAAACAGAGTATATTGGTTCTATACTCTGTCTCTCTTGCAGTGAGTTTCTAAAAGAAATGTAGAGATTATGAATATGTAAAACTTAACACCTGAACAAATTTGTAGTGCAGCTTCAATGAGTCGAACATCTTATTTGATTCGCTAGACAAATAGAGCTTTTGAGTGCTCACATTTTCAATATATCAATAATCTGATAGTAAAATCTTAATATTTTAAACTCTATTAGAATATCTTATGAATCAATGATCTACAGTTTTTCCAATTTCAGCTTAATAACGCAGTAGTACCAGTACCAGTAGTCTCTATCATATACATATTTTTATATACTGATATAGCATGGATTGTCACAGTCTTCAGCTTGAAAAGAATATATTTTTATATATATTTATCAATAAACAGATAATAATATGAACTACTCAAGAGCTAAGGCTCTCCTCAACATAAAATTATGCTAATTCATTCTTCTCTAAGCGAGCATTACGCAGTCATCAATAGCCGATCGACATATTCTTAGTTGTTTTCGTTTTCATTTTCGTTTGCGTCGTGAGTGCCTCTCTCATGCTCTCTCTCTACGCTACGTTTTCCTCATTCTTATCTACATTTTCGTTGATAATGCATTGAATTTGAGTGAAATCATTTTGCATTCATACAAATTCAAACAACAATTTGCAGTCCACTGTCATCTCTCGCGGCGTCGAGTTGTTGTGAAACGAACATAAACTATATACATATATAAAGAGAAAAACAAAATTGAAATAAATTTTAAACAAATTGTTTTGCTATACTCGAAATACTTGTAGCGCGCGCGTTTTTTTTTTATTTTTATTTTATTTATATTTTCACTTTGCGCGCAGCTGAAATTTGTTTATTTGCTACGCTCTTATGATTTGTTGCAAAATGCGTATACGTAGTGTGACATGTGTCGCGAATGCGCTGTAAGTTCTTGTTGTTATTGTTGCTAAACAGAAATAGAAGAAAACAGAAAAAAGCAAATCGAAAACCAAACTTTTCTCTTCGTGCAGCAGCCGCAGGATGAGCAACAACAGAAACATCAACAATGACGGCGGAGGTGGCGTCGCAGGTGGCGATACTGAAATGGCAGCGGGTGCAACAGCATTTGCTGCCTCTGTTGCAACAGCAACTGCAACAGCAACAACAACAGCAACTGCAACAGCAACAGCAACTGCAACAGCAACTGCCAACTCAAGTTCAACGCGTCGTTTGGTACATTTGCAGGGCGGCAATCGTGGAGCTGCCATGGGCAATGTTGTTGGCTGGCTAAAGCAGGTTTCTGTTCTCTCTTTTTTGCCAGCGCACTTGGCCCACATATAAACATATATATATATATATATACATATCTATATCTATCTAGTTGTATTTATCTGTGTGTGTGTGCTGCACTTCGACTGCTACAGCGTGCGAAGTAGTTTTCTGTTCTTGAGCCAAGCACCAGGAGCTAGTCAGCTCTAATTACGTTACTCACATCTCGTGACACACACACACACACAACAACAACACACAATATATGCTGTACCTGTTTTATTGTTATCCTGCACCTGCTTATACGTAATGCAAGCGCACATGCCTCCCCCACTGACACACCTGACACACACCTGACACGTTGCTCGCTTTAATTTTGTATTTGAGCTTTTTATGGGTTCATGTCATAGAGATTTGCACCAATTAGTCAACCAGGATTAAATGATATACATTTAATTTATATTATATA